TATAACTGCTATATAACATGGGAATAACATGTAATGTAACGGTTGTTATACCTAATTTATATTGGGATTATATAACTATCTCTTATTTAAGCAATATAACACCAGAATATAACTGCTATGTAACGTCCCAGTGAGCATTATTGAGAGGATGAGCTCTTTAAGAGGACTTTTTAAAGACTTAATTAAATTTTCTTAGAAATGATATCAGTAAGTTATCTTTTTGTAAGATATCTTTCACAAGAGCTCTTTATGATATCTCTTCATAGATATCTCTAAAATCTCTAGCAAGCGTGCCATTTAAGATATTTTACGAAAGCCGCACACATGCGCAAGCAACGTACATGTGAACTAGAGACCCTGTGTTCTAGTGTGAACTGCGTGCCACTGCATGCTCTGGATTTCAAAGAGATAGCATTTCTTCAATATTAACGTTTTTAAGATAATCTTTCTTTCTCAAATTATAAATATTATTAAATATGTATTTGAGCATAAAATATATTAATATTTTCATATATATTTTTGTTATTTCTATATTCAACCTAAGAAGTTGGGTTATGTCTTCAAAAAATGTAAAGGGAGTTTTTTAATTCATCGATTGATCAATCGCATGATGCACAAATGTAGCAAATACAGGACTTTGCTGTACTTGCGCATCATATGCGATTGATCAATCGATGAATTAAAAAACGCCCTTTACATTTTTTGAAGACATAACCCAACTTCTTAGGTTAAATATAGAAATAACAAAAATATATATGAAAATATTAATATATTTTATGCTCAAATACATATTTAATAATATTTATAATTTAAGAAAGAAAGATTATCTTAAAAACGTTAATATTGAAGAAATGCTATCTCTTTGAAATCCAGAGCATGCAGTGGCACGCAGTTCACACTAGAACACAGGGTCTCTAGTTCACATGTAAGTTGCTTGCGCATGTGTGCGGCTTTCGTAAAATATCTTAAATGGCACGCTTGCTAGAGATTTTAGAGATATCTAATAATCTATTAGTGAATCGCGCTCACTTTTTAAACTCACCCAATAAAGAACCATAATTATAATATAGGCACCAAGAAGATAAACGTATGCGTATTACGCACATAATACAAAATGTAAAATATCGAATAGTTAATAATAATATT